TCACCTACATCGTCCACAAGGGACGACTCGGGAACTCAACTCCTACCTCGGGCAGCTCACCTTTCCCCCTATGCCCAGGGGAAAGGTATCAAGCCGTTTGACAGCTGATGCAGGCTGTCAAAACGGCTTTTACGCAGAAACAGGCGGGAGCAGCAAACAGCTGCGTCCAGCGAAGGCGCCTGCCACCGGAAGTCCCTCCCCGTCATCTATTTTCTTAATTTCCATCTCAATTTTTTTTCTTTGCCCAGAATCTTTCTTAATCAATGTACTTTGCTGGACCAAAAGGTTTTCCCATATGATCATAGGTATTGCTGTGGATATAGAAAGTAAATCAATGTCTTTGTCATGGGCATTTGCCCACTCCTTTTTATTAGGAATCTTTTTCCTTCCTTTTCTCTCCACTTGTCACTTTTTGTCTCTCCAGTTTTTTCCAGTCTTTTTTCTTATCCTCAAATTTGCTCTGTAGTGTTGAAATGTGAGTTGTCTTTTCTTCCATTTGAATTAAATCATACTTCTGGTTCCTGTGAAGCAGCAAAGCAGTTGAGGGATTCGGGATGCTGAGCCCCCCAGCTGAGTTTCTTCCTGATTGGGGATCCTAAATGGGCCAGAAGCCCCCCGGAGAAGTGGCAATGAAGGAAGATAGTCCCAGGGACCTAGGAGAGATGGTGGTCTCCCTGATCGGTCCAGGAGAAGCCTTCCAGAAACCAACAGGAGAAAGGCTAGCTAACTCCATTGTCTAGCCCCAGCTGCAAGCAACAGAAGACAAAAGCTCTACTCTAAGCTGATTGTAAACAGTGTGTTTGAAATCTGGATAAGAAATACTGATTTTTTCCTTCCTACCTACTTTCCTGAAGAGAAGAATTCCCAAGAAGCAAAAAACAAACCTCCGAGAGTGAGAAGGGAGGGGTTTTTCCTCCAACCTTTTGGCTATTGGAAGCCAGGAATCTAACTCTTTAAGGAGGGAAAAGACTAGAAAGATCTGAAAAATGAGCCAATGCTGACACCTACTGGTGGATGAGGATTATGAAATCTCTGCCTTCAAAGTTTTAATAAACACAGCTGTTTAGATAAAGTGAGACTTACAGAAATAATGTATACTTCACAAGAGGAAATATATGATAAGCTGCAACCAATTCAAAGGACAACGATCTCAAACTACAAAGAAATGCAGAACAACTTTGAAAGTATAAATCAATTTATCTCCTATTTAATTTCACTCCCCCCACCCCCCACCCCAAAAAAACCCCCCAGGAGAATACAGCAGAGGTGACTGAACATAAATCTGAGGATAGAGACTTAAAGATGGAATTTTGCCACTCTTGGTGTCTTACAAACGGTGAAAAGATAAACAGAAAAACAATTAAAAATTTAAAAACTATTTAAAAAAAAACAAGAACCAAGGAGATGGACAGCACAGGGATGATATCTTCTTACCCAAGAAACACCTCCAGTAGTGAGCGCTCCTTCGAGGATCCAGGCAAATTTTTAAAAATTGAGTTTTAATACCCTTCCAGAAGTCCAAAGGGGTGGGAGATAAACATAAGAGGTGGGGAAACAACTCTAGAAATAGGGTGAGGTTGCTGCAGTTAAAATATGTTTCTAATCTGAGATTAGAAATTTCACAAAACAGAGTAGGTGAAAATAATGAACAGAAAAGGTTTATGTATATGTGTTTATGTATGAGAGAGAAAGCATGGGAGAGGGAAAGGGAGATTTAGAGATAGAGGGAAGAAAGGAGTGAGGAAGAGAATAATCTTCCTGTCCTGTCACATTTGCAAACAGAGGCATTGAGTTGAATATCCCACTTCTGACTTAGGGCTCAAAAGGGTGATTCTCTCTGTCTTTTCAGCTCCATCCTTTTCTAAGAAACTTCAAGATTTACAATTTTTCTGTGGATGATGTTTATTTGGATGAGGCTGGAATTCCTGTTGCTGACTTTGATATTATGGACTGGGCAGTATTTCCTAACAAGTCTTCTGCTGGAGTGAAAATAGGGGATGTTGAAAAAGAAAAAGTCTCTTCAGATATCAAGTTCTCTATCGACGAGAGTGTCATCATATGGCCAACATCCTTTAACTCGGTAACCAAGTCTGCCTGTTTGTGGGTATTGTAAACCCTTAGACCCTGAATGACTTACTTCAGGGCATCTAACTCAGGGCAGTCCTTGATGCTCATTGAGCATAGTTGCTTACAGACATTTAATTAGAATCAGAATCAGAATAATAGAGTTGGAAGGGACCTTGTAGGTCAGCTAGACCAACCCCCCCACCCAAGCAGGAGACCCTAAACCAGTGGTAGCGAACCTATGGCCCGGGTGCCAGAGGCGGCACTCAGAGCCCTCTCTATGGGCATGCACACTGTCGCCCCACTCCTAGGCCTTCAGCTGGGTTTTATAAAACCTTTTCACTTTAGGCCTCCGCCGCCGTGTACAAAAATAAATGTTCAATCAATCAATCAATTTCAACTTCTTGCGGGGAAAAAAAAGATCTTGCAAAGTTGTAATTGATTGATTGAACTTTTTAGTCCCACCCAGTCTGCCGTTACCACCACAGCCACGCCCACCCAATGGGCCACATCCACCCGGCACTCGACGATGCATGTGGGTTTTGGGTTGCAGTTTGGGCACTCGGTCTCTAAAAGTTTCGCCATCACTGCCCTACACCATTTCTGACAGATGGGAGTCCAGTCTCTTCTTGAAAGCTTCCAGTGATGAAACTCCCACAACATCTGAAGGCAATCTGTTCCATTGGTTGATTGTTCTCACTGTCAGAAAATATCTCATTATCTCTAGGTTGAATCTCTCCTTGATCAGCTTCCATCTGTTATTCCTTGTCTGGCTTTCAGGTGCTTTGGAAAACAGGCTGATCCCTTCATCTCTGTAACAGCCCCTCTAATATTGGAACACTGTTATCATGTCTCCCCTGGTCCTTCTCTTCAGTAGATTAACCATGCCCAGTCCCTGTAGCCATTCTTCATATGTTTTAGCCTCCAGTCCCCTAATAATCTTTGTTGCTCTTATCTGCACTTTTTCTAGAGTCTCAACATCTTTTTTATAGTGTGGAGACCAAAACTGAATACAGTATTCTAGGTGTGGTCTTACTAAGGCTTTATGGAGTGGTATTAGTACCTCATGAGATCTTGATTGAATCCCTCTGTTAATGCAACTTAGGATTGCATTGGCTTTTTTTGGTTGCCGCTGCACACTGGTGGGTCATATTTAATTGATTGTCCACTAAGACTCCAAGATCTCTCTCACAGCTACTGCTTGATAACATTATCAGTGCCTGATGATAGCATAGTCAAATGTCTGCAAGCAAACAACCATATTCAGAGTACACCAAGTACTCCACAGTTCAACCCTGAGCTACACATATTTATTCTACTGGATCTTACTCAATGCTTGATTGAGTAATGATTATTGATTAACAATGATTAATATTTATAAGTATATATACGGGTGTAGACAGTGCTTTTTTTCTAAAAAAAAAAAAAAAAAAAAAGGTGCCGGAACTCACACATGTCATACAACCCGCCTTGCCTACCCTACAAGGTTCCATCCAAAAAAGGTGCCGGAACTCCGTTTATATGTGAGTTAGGTATGTGTACACTTTTGAGAGCAGGCAACAGAATTTCATTTTTAATGTGTGCCTGTTTGCCCACAGTAAAAAATGACAATAAATGTTATCTATCTTATCTTGTTCAAATTACAAATTCAGAGTAGAGCTGGAAGGGACCTTGGAGGTCTTGCAGTCCAACTCCCTGCTCAAGCAGGTGACCCTATACCATTTCAGATAAATGGTTATCCAGTCTCTTTTTCAAAACCTCTAGGTTGCTGTTCTCCTTAATCAGTTTTTTATCCTGCTCTCTAATGCTTTGGAAAATAAGTTGACCTTCTCTTCTTTGTGGCAGCCCCTCAAATACTGAAACCACTCATGTCACCCCCACTCCTTCTCTTCTCCAGACTAGCTATACCCAATCCTTACAACAGTTGTTCTAATGTTTTACTCTCCAAGCCTTTAATCTTCTTAGTTGCTCTTCTCTGCACCTTTTCCAAAATCTAAACATCTTTTTTGTAATGTGGTTACCAAATTTAGATGCAGTATTCCAGGTATGGTCTTATTAAAGTTTTATAAAGTGGTACTAATACTTCACATGATTTTGATTCTATGGCTCTATTTATACAACTAAGGATTGTATTAGCTTTTTTGGCTGCTGCCACACACTGCTGGCTCATATTTAATTGATCGTCCACTAGGACTCCAAGGTCCCTCTCACAGTTACTGTTTTTGAACCAGGTTTTGCCTAATCTGTACTTGTACCTTTGGTTTTTCCTGTCTATATATAAAACATTGCTTTTCACCACATTAAATTTCATTTTGTTGGATAGGGCCTATTGTTCAAGTCTGCCAAGATTCTTTTGGATCCTGAGCTTGTTTTCTGGGGTGTTGGCTAGTCCTGCCATCTTAGTGTCATCTGCAAAACTTGATGAGATCCCCTTCTATTCCCTCATCCAAGTCACTTATGAAGCTATTGAAGAATGCTGGGCCTAAGACGGAAACTTTTGGTACTCCACTGCTTATTTCCCTCCATGTAGATGTAGTACCATTAAGGATGACTCATTGAGTACAGTTTGTCAGCCAGTTACAAATCATCTGGTGGTGTTGCTATCTATCCCACATTTTTTTTAGCTTATCAAGAAGTAGGTTCTGGTCTACTTCATCGAATGCCTTGCTGAAGTATATACTATGTCCACATCATTTCACCAGTCTAATAATTCAGTCACTTTGTCAAAGAATGAAATAAGATTGGTTTGGCATGATCTGTTTTTAACAAACCTATGCTGACTATTAGTTATACCTTTATTTGTTTCTAGATGTTCACAGATCTGTTTTTTATTATCTTTTCCAGCATCTTTGGTATTGATGTTAGGCTGGTTGGTCTGTAGTTTCCTGGGTCTGTTTTTTCCCCTTTTTTGAAGATGGGAACGACATCAGCTCTTTTCCAATCCTCGGGTATTTCCCGGTGCGCCAGGATTTTTGAAAGATATAGTACAATGGTTCTGAGATGACATCTGCCAGCTCCTTCAGAACTCTGAGATATAATCCATCAAGTCCCAGTGATTTTCATTCATTAAGATCTGACAGGTGTTATCTTACTTTTTTTGTTCAGACCAGCTTTCTTTGAGACTGAGTTAGTAGTAAATTGAGATCCAAGAGATACATGATGGAAGAAAGCAAAGACATGAGGGCATGTTATGTGAAATGGTGTTCTACCAACTGCTAAGATATGACCAAGAAACCTTCTCCTTCCAATGCTTTGAACTGCACCATCCACCATTTCTTACCATTGGCAATTCATAGAACATAAAATCATAGGGCTGGAAGGGACCTCAAAGATCTTCTATCCCAACCCTCTGTTCAAGGCAGGAAACCTCCCAGTCAAATAGTTGTCAAGTCTATTTTTCAAAATCTCCAGTGATAGAGCACCCACAACTACATGAGGCAAGCTAGTCCATTGATTAATTGTTCTCACTGTCAGAAATGTCTCCTTACTTCTAGGCTGGACCTCTCTTTAACAAGCTTTCACCCATTACTTCTTGGCCTGCCCTCTGGTGCTTTGGAGAATAAATCTAATTCCCTCTTCTTTGTGATCAATCCTCAAATATTGGGGGTCATTGTCCCTCTTTGTGCTTCTCTTTGTGAGATAGATAGATATCTAGTTCCCTCAACTGTTCATTATATAATTTAGCCTACAGACTCTTTATCATGTTTTCTAGTCTTCTATGCACACTTTCTACTATTCCAATTGTGCCCCCCCCCAGGCCATGGCCCCACTACTAGGCCGTGGCCTATTCAGAATTGGCAGACAAGTGGCTGGAGCACATGACAGCCCACTGCTTACACAAGTCAAGCTGCACACATGTGTGCTGGCGTTCACTTGTGCAAGGGCTGCATGCATGTGCACACATGCATCAGCCTGCCACAAATGCAGCCCAGTTCCCCTCTCTCCCCCCACAGCCGGGCCACTGAGCCACAAAGGTTGGGGGCTGCTGCACTAGCACACCCAGATCTCTCTCATAGTTACTTCTGTGAGCAAGGTACTACTTATTTTGTACCTATCTATTTGCATTTTTCCTACCTAAATCTAATTCAAAACAAAATTGATGGGATATGAAATCCAAATGCAGGTTGCTTCTCACTGGGAAAAGATGTTTGGAAGAAAGTCATCAGTCTTTACTGAATATTGAAAGGACTCTGGGATATGCTGCTGAAATCACCCAAACAAAAATAATTTTATTATATTTAGAAAAAATCTTGAAAGTATCTTCTGAGTTCATGAACCTATCTTGGCACTGACTTCCAGTATAGAAGCAATTCCCTAATCCAGCGGTTCTCAACCTATGGGTCGCGACCCCATTTGGGGTCAATCGACCATTTCACGGGGGTCGCCAAGCAAGGCTGTCCGCCATTTTTTCCCCTTTTCCAGCGGGTGCCTTACCTCCCTTGAACTGGGCCAGCTGGTGGTCGGCCTGCTCCGTCTCTGCCGCTTGCCAGCTACGCCTCGGCCGGCGCAGGGGGCGGAACCATGCATGCGTGGCACTCCCAGGCAGGGAAAGTCCTCGACTTACGACCGGTTGGGTAGTCCTCGACTTACGACCGGTTTAGTCCTCGACTTACGACCGGTTGGGGGTCGCGGCATTAAAAAGGTTGAGAACCACTGCCCTAATCCATATATTTCCATAATTTTCTTTCTGTTTAGAAGACCCCCTTTTCTAGATGTACTAAAAATTGCCTCCCAGGATATACCAAGCTCACAAGAGAAGGAGAACCAGTGTGCTGCTATGACTGTTCTCCATGTATGGAAGGAACAATCTCCACGCAGGAAGGTAGGTGGCTCAAAGACAAAAAAGGAGTATCAGCCTTTTATTCTAGGGACAAATATAGTAATCAAGATTTAATCTCCTATGCCAGTGTGCTGCATCCACACTCAGGAAAAGAATCAAGACACAGCAGTGTTCAGTATTCAATAAAAGTAGCATTTTACCATAGTGGATGTTTTTGGAAACTGCTGAAACAGTAAAAAGTAATATTGACAAAGATGGAGAAATCTTGAGAGATGACAGAAATAGGTATACAAAGCCAAGATCAACTATTAGGAGGCATATACAGTATAAATAGTTTTTTTGAAATAGGACATGGAGATGGAACAAATAAACAACTGTATGATAGAATGGATACAAAATATCAAATAAATAATTGCAGTATAAAAAAATAACAGTTTTGGAAAAGAAAAATCCAGAAAATTCACTCCAGGTTATACTATAAGATGAAATGTTTTACAGACAGTATACAATTATATCAACAATTGATAAAACAAACAAATCATAGAAAAATAGATGTAGGAAATCCCATAACAAAAAGGAATATTTTATCATTTGTGGTAGTGATGCAAACAAACTCAAAATTCAGAGAACAAAATGCATTACAATATTAAAAAAAAAAACTAAACATAAACATTGACCTGAAATCCCAAATGTTCTTTTGAGGTATAATTCTACAAATGTTCTTTTGAGTTATAATTCTACAAATGTTCTTTTGAGGTATAATTCTCCAGAATTGGAAAGACACATTTTTTTTCAGTGATGTCACATTGGGAGGTAAGATTGGACAATCTGCTGCAATGGGAAAATTCACAATATCTAAAGTATCTATGATAGCAGTAGCAAGAATGGCTACCATAGATACCACACAAAGAATTTAGAACTTTGGGACATAACATAGTTTTTAGAAAGACAGTTCTGCAATTGACAAATAAAGAGAAAGGATGGTGGCAATGTTTTTCTATAAGCATTTTCTACTTTATTCATGCTTAGAAATTATTTCTTTTTGTGTTATTCAAGTGTCAAATCCAATGTAAAGCATGTTTTTCTTTATACATTGTTCCAGTAATAAAAATATTTTTCTTTTAAAAAAGAGAGAAAAATAGCAATTTATGTTTTCCAGATGTGGCCCAATGTGAAAAGTGTCCAGATGAACAGCATTCCAATCAGAAGAGAGATCAGTGTGTCCCCAAAGTTGAGACTTTCCTGTCCTACAAAGAAATGTTAGGTCTCATTCTGGCTATCATTGCCTTTTTTTTGTCTCTAACTACTGCCTTAGTTCTAGGAATCTTCATTAAATATCGAGAAACCCCCATAGTCAAAGCTAACAACCGGGATCTCACCTACATTCTCCTGGTCTCTCTCCTGCTTTCCTTCTTGACCTCTCTTCTATTCATTGGTCGGCCCAAGAAAGTGACCTGCCTTTTTCAACAAATCACCTTCAGCGTGGTTTTCTCAGTTGCTGTCTCTTCCTTGCTGGCCAAGACTATCATGGTGGTGGTGGCATTTTTGGCCACAAAGCCAGGCAGCAGGATGAGGAAATGGTTGGGGAAAAGTCTGGCCAACTCCATTGTCTTGTCCTGCTCTGGAGTTCAGGTGGGCATCTGCCTTACCTGGCTGAGAATCTCTCCCCCATTTCCACATTCTGACCTGCATTCTCAACCAAGACAGATCCTCCTGCAATGTAATGAAGGCTCAATCACCATGTTCTACACTGCCCTTGGTTACATGGGCTTTCTGGCTGCCATCTGCTTCTTGGTGGCTTTTCTGGCCCGCAAGCTTCCGGGGACTTTCAATGAAGCCAAGTGGATCACCTTCAGCATGCTGGTTTTCTGCAGTGTTTGGGTCTCCTTTATCCCCACCTACCTGAGCACTAAAGGGAAATACATGGTGGCTGTGCAAATCTTCTCTATCCTGGCTTCCAGCCTTGGTTTACTAGGCTGTATTTTTGTCCCCAAATGTTACATCATTATTCTTAGACCTGTCATGAACACTAAGGAGAATCTAATGATGAAAAATAATGAGAGTTCTTGATTTTGAATGTTATTTGTTACCCAAGTTATTGTTAAGATAAAATAGGATAGTTGGAAATAAAATCCTTATGTGTTCTAAGAACTCTCTCTTTCTCTCACATGAAGTCTCAATTATTATTGATATAATAAGCTATACTAAAGATCTGTAAGAGGTCATTTTCTTTTGAATTATTACTTTCTTTTACCATAATCCATATATATATATATAGGAAGAATCATAAAATTTCACTAACCATATATCTACTGAAACCAATTAAGAGAGAGCATTATAAAAACACATTTCCTTTATCTAATGTACTTAATAAGATATGACTGTAAGGACCTTCCTCAGCTAATCCTCTCAGGAAAGCACAACTCTTCACACCATGTGGTTAATCAAAAGAACTTTTACTGAGAAACAGTGGTTGCAATAAAGTCAGGTGGAATCTAATGATCCCACGAAAAGCACCAAGCTATTCTTCCCATTCCTAAACCTAACCATGCTGACCAGTCCACTGGGAGCCAATACAGTGCTGCAAGGTTGTTTTGAGAGCACGGAGGTACAGGACAGATAACAGGTCATCCTTTGTATCCCTCCCCTGGATACAAAGTAACAAAGTACAATTCCCACCTCCAATAAACAGTGATAAAGCACATTCCCCAATTAGCTTGAAGCATGGGCTTTCTCCCCAGCTCTCCAGCCCGCCAAAATGTTATCAGCTCTGGACCCTGTTTGTCCTTGGGTTTCCGTGGCAGAGTTATTATTATTATGACTAACTGAACTCTCATCCCAATAACCCCTCCCAGCACCAACTAATTCTAAAAGCATAGAGAAAATGGCTGGATTTTCATCTGTTGTCAAAGCAAGAACATCCAATGTTAGCAGCATTGATACAGGATGCAGCAACCTTGCAGTCAGGCTAGATCCAGCTGGGAAGGAGTTCATTCCATCTCTGAAGACAGTCCCCTTTCCTAATTCCCATGTGGTTACAGCAAAAGTGAAAGAATGAAAAAAATGTTCCCCCTGAGCCTCCTTCTGCCCCCTCCAACAGAATACCAGGGCACCCATAATGGGATCCGACATGCTGCCACCCCAAAAGAAAGGGACTAAACCTGCAGAACAAAATATAACAAAATGGGAGAGGAAAACAAGATTAGAACACTCATTTAGGTTTGTCAGGATGTTGATTGTGAAAGTGCTTCACTAATCTAGGGGCTCTAACATGCCAATGATTGGCCCATTCATTCTGGCCTGTGGGGAAATCCTTCCATACCACTAGATATTGGATGTTCTCCCTATGCATGCAGGAGTCCAAAATCTCCTTCACTTCAAGATGTTGTTCCCCCTCTATCATTAACAGTTCAGGTACAGAGGGAGGAATTGGTCTAAGGGGTGAGTAAATCTAAGGTTTTAGTAAACTGCAGTGAAAGACCAAATCGACCTGGCAGAGGGAGTTTGGGAGGTCTAATTCCATTGTGACTAGATTAACAATGTGTTTGATGGAGAAAGTTCCCACAAACGTAGGTCCCAATTTCTTGGAGAGTTGCAGTGACTATAAGAAATGTGGGGAAAGGTAAACTTGGTCTCTCAGACTGAAAGGCTTTGGCTCAGTTCTCTTTGTCTGCTTGTGCTTTATAGGCATCATGAGCTTCTGAGAGAAACTTTCATACAATATGCCAGGTATTTTGTAGTTGGGAAACTCATTCTTTCAAAGACAGCACTGCAGGGTCATTGATAGGGAGTTGAGGCATGGGTTTGAAGTCTTGACCAGTAGCCACTCAGAAAAGGGGGAAACCAGTGCTGCTGTGCACAGAGTTATTGTATGCCACTTCTGCAAATGGCAAGAGATCAGTCCAATCAGTCTTGTTGATAATTAATGAAGCATCTAATCTTGAGGTATTGATCCATTACTGAGTTCACTCATTCACACACCCCATTCGTTTGGGGGTGATGACTGGAACTGAGTCCTTGGACAGTATCCAATAGGTCCAGGGAAGCACGCCAAAACTTGCAGTTCAATTGCACCCCTCTGTCTGAGATGATGCAATGGGATGCTCCATATAGATGATAAATGTGATGCAGAAATAATTTTCCAAGGCCCTGGGCAGATGGGATTTTCTGACATGGGATAAAATGCACTTGCTTGGGAAATAAAACAGTTATCACCCAGATTACTGTATTTCCCATGCTGTTGGGGAGTGCCACAATAAAGTCCATAGAAATCTCTCTCCAAGGTACTGATGGCTCAGCTACTGTCTGAAAGAGTTCTGGCATTTTCCCTTGCCACTGCTTGGCTGAGGCACACACAGGACAACTGGCTACATAGCTCTCAATGCCTTTTTTAAGGGATGGCCACCAAAATTGCCTTTTTACCAAGTGTAGTGTTTTCACAAAATCTAAGTGTCCCACAGTTTTGGAATCATGGTAGCTCCCTAGAACCAGGAGTTTTCCATAACATTTTCCATAACACTTTCCATAAAATAGAGCTTCGCCCACACCCAAGCCAGCCCATCTTGTATCCAACAACCATTGTTGTGAGTTGGGAACCATTTAACATCCTTAAGGGTGACAACATGATTGCCAACATCCGATAAGGATATGGCAGAAGAAGAAGAAGAAGAAGAAGAAGAAGAAGAAGAAGGAGAAGGAGAAGGAGAAGGAGAAGGAGAAGGAGAAGGAGAAGGAGAAGGAGAAGAAGAAGGAGAAGAAGAAGAAGAAGAAGAAGAAGAAGAAGAAGAAGAAGAAGAAGAAGAAGAAGAAGAAGAAGAAGAAGAAGAAGAAGAAGAAGAAGGAGGAGGAGGAGGAGGAGGAGGAGGAGGAGGAGGAGGAGGAGAAGGGTGACTTTAAGGGCAGAAGTCCCTTAAAGTCACTGGCTATTGGAATTTTTTCTCTTATCTGTGCTCAAATGGTTACTTGAGCTGCCAGCTGATAGGATGAGAGTACTGGTTTGATTATTTCTGCTTTTGAGTAATTGAGCAGAAACTCATTCTAGGTGAAATGTTTTATATATATTGCAAGTGTCAACGCTGCTAACATTGGATGTTCTTGCTTTGACAATGATGGGGATGCAGCCTTTTTCTTTATGTTGTCTTACTCTTAGAGTTATATGATGCTGGGGGGAGGGGGAGGAATGCGATGGGAATTAGTTAGACATACAATATTGTAACAAGAACTGATAAAGAATGGTGGGAGAGGAAATTGGGTGGGAAGCCAGCATTTCATACTAACTGGAGGATGTGATTTATGACTGTTAGTTGTAGGAGGGAATTGTGCTTTGATGTATGTGCTGAAGGGAGGGGAAGTCAGATTTTGGCTTCAACTATATAGTACCGAAGCTATGCTGCTTGATTAAAGATTTTTTAAAGGTAAACAATGCCTCAAAGTTCTTTGAAGAGTTTCATCTTTCGGAACCATGACAGCAAGAGCATGTATGATATGCCATGTGTGAAATGAATAAATTTGACCTTGATGATTACAGATAACACTTTTTTGTTTCAGGCCAATTCATCCTTCCACTTTAGAACTAGAGGAAGAAATGACCTTATGGAGGATCTGACCCATAAGGCACCCATAAGACCCATAAGGCACTGAGACACTGAAAGAGACAGCAAAATGAACACATTTGGGAAGGGATTAAGGAAGAGAGTGAGCTGATTCCTGGACTCTTTATTCAATATTTAGTATTGTGTAAGGGTTCTGTGGTATGGCATCATGGGTCCATACAGGCTTTTTAAGGTATAAAGAAAGATCTTCCAAAGGTTCACAATTAAAGGCAGGACTTTTTTTTCTTTTTACTAAATGTCCCAGGGGAGGAAAGTTACACTATAGACCACATTTCACTTTCCTATTGGTGAAAAAAATATTGCAACTTTAGTATTTCAAGAATAGGTTTCTTAAGTAAAGGAAATAAAACATTCCTGAATTGTTATTTGGATGACTGTTAAATAAGAACTATGCTAATGAGTCATGTAGAGATTTTTTCCCCCATGCACACAAATAAATAATGTCATTCAGAGAATCAACTGTGACCTATATCCCTGTATAATTATCAAAATTACAATTATTTCTTTCTCTTGCTAGGGACTTCTCTCGACTCATAGTCATTTAGAAACCTAGGAAGGGATACTTAATAACTTTCATCAGCAAATATTTAGTAACACTGACAAAAGGTCTGAGAATCTGGTTCATAAGTACCACAAGGGCAATGGAGAACATATGGTGAGATTCCAGAAGTCAGAATTGTGAAGGTCTGAAATTTAATGCTGCCCTTTTAATGTTGCGGACTTCATGTCATCTTGCTTGACCAAGTCAGTGCATCTGTGGTTTTTGGCAAGAAAATTGTGCTTCTTCTTAGGCAGCTCTGAGGCCAAAGACACTGGGTGCCTGTCTCAGAGAACTACAGAAGATCTCCATCATGATATGTGAAATACTGCTGCTGCTGCTTCTCCTGGTGTCCCATTTTCCCTGTGGCACAATGATGACCAAATGTCCATTGCATGTGCAAAAAGAGGGAAAGCATTTTAATTACTACAAGCCAGGAGACTTCCTGATTGGTGGAATCATATCTACATCTAGCACTATATTTAAACCATACATTTTCTTTAAGCCTCCGAGTAACAGATTTCAAAGGTAATTCCTGAAGTGTACTTAACTCTTGTGATTAATTTTATCTTGTTTATCTTGTTTTTAATATGGATGATTCCCATTACCCGGTACTTGGTCTCTGTTACCCTTCCCTCTCTTCATTTGCATTAAGGAAAAGGCTTAAACTGAAGGTGGGGAGTCTTGGCTGTTCACAAAATAACTTTCTATGAAACCACAGAGAATCACTAGGTCCCCTTTTAGTTGAAGGTAAAGAACTGAGATCCATTCCCATTTTATTTTCCCATTCTCTTCTATGTTCTCCATGATGCATATCTATATCTATATCTATCTATCTATCTATCTATCTATCTATCTATCTATCTATCTATCTATCTATCTATCTATCTATCTATCTATCTATCTATCTATCTATCTAT